TCTCTGAAAGGTTGGATACCTCTGTTTCATTTAGTTCCATGTCTAGAGGTTTCTTCTGATCTTTTACTTGGGACATGTTTCTTTGTTTCTTCATTCTGGCTGTCTCTCTGTGATTGCTTTGATGTATTAGATGGATCACCTATGCCTCTCAGTCGTTTTTGGGTGCTCTTGTAGTATGTGTCCTTTATATTCGTATTACACAGTCTCTCTATTCTCCTGTCCAATGTGTTCCAGAGGTGTTGCTGTTGAAGTTGTTCTTTAATTGCTTTTGGCTTGTCAGAGGGTTGGATTGACCCTCAGACTGATTATCTGGGAGAATTAGCTCTATTCACAGTGTATGAGATGCTGTGTGGTGGTTGATCCCCTCAGAGGAGGCTTGGCCACTGTGGGTTCTTGTGCCTGTGGAAAATTTCCTTTGAGAGTACCACTTGTAGGTTCAACCAGGTAGTACTCTGGTTCTGTGTAACACTGGCCTCTGGGTGTATTGGTTCTTGTGTCTCTTCGGTGGCACTCCCACTCAGAGCTGTTTCAGCCCTGCCTGTTCCCAGTCCATAACTACCTGGTAGGTGCCTAAAGGCTATACACAGTTGGCTTCTGCCCGTGCTGGACCTGGGGTCATGTGGGGATGGTCTCTGTGTGAACTGAAGCTGGCTTCCCCCCAATATTGTTCCTGAGGCAGTTTAGGAAAAGGCCCAGGACCCCCTAGGCCTGCTGCCACCTGTCAGATGCCAGTAAAGCTCACCTATTGAAAGAGGCTCTTTAGGGGCATGTATCTGCGTATTTGACCAGGTGTTTAGGGTGCCTCTGCGATGTGGCATTAGCTTGGAAGGATGGAGTTCAAGTGAGTTATGTGACGCAATCGGTCGTTTTTAAGACGTTAATGGAGATTCAAGTCTTACACCAACACCTGGCCTGTGACCCCCTTGTATAGCATCCCAGGGGCACTAAAGCCAGCCTCTACCTTGTGCTCACAGATTCACAAAAGCTGCTCCCGAGTGACTGTGGTACCGGTTTGTGGTCACTGACCACCACGAAGATGACCCCATGGCTTTGCGGATCACCTTCTGTTGTAAAAAACCTTTACCACAGTTTGTGGGGGTGAGGCCAGTCACCTTGGCACCGCGATTGCCCCCTGGCAATGTAGCTGTAGGTGGGCGAGGTGGTGTTACAGGTGCGTAAAGGCTGTGGTCAGTAGTTTCTACAAATTCAGTGTAATCTCAGCTCCTGGACCAGTGCTTGGTCCACGTCCATTTCATAAAACAAGTATCAAGCAAGGCAACCCAATAACACCAAAAGACAAGTACACTCCCACAGAAACTTGATAAGCAATGATCAAACAGGAGAAACAAAAGTATATAAAAGAGACACAGACACCAACACAAAAACAGGAGAACAAGACAGAAAAACAATGACCAAAGCAATATCCAGATAAACAAGTCTGCGAAATGACAAAAACAAAACAGATGAAAGAAAAGAAGGAAAAGAAACAAAACGAAAGAGAAAGAAAAAATAATAATAATAAAGAAAAGAAGGGGGAAGAAAAAAGAAAAAAAATGGAAAATGAAATTAAAAAAATAGGCTTTCTGCCCGCTTTAATCTGTAGACCACTTGCTCAGCAAGAGAGAGTCTCTGGGCAACTGAGCACCAGCTATGATGGGGGGAAGAGCTCAACGCGTCATGCGCCAGCCTCCCTCTCAGGCTTGCTGTGAACTTCCTGCAATTAGCTACTGTGTGTTCTGGAACCGTGCTCACCACCAAAAATCCTCACAGGTTGTTGCGGGCTGTCTGCTGTTGCAAAAAACCCTCTGTGGCCTGCGGATGTGGGGGCTTAGGGTGCCTCTGGCAACACAGATCTAGGTGGGTGGGGCAGGCCCCCAGGGCACCACAGGGTGTGGCCAATGGCCCCCACCAAGTCAGAGCAGCATGCACTCCATTACCAGCAACTCGCCTGTACAAATGCGCCAGGAATGCCCCGGCCAGATCACGCAGGCTCACAGCGCATTGCGCAACACTCCCAGTCTCAGCCTGTCCTAATCAGCCGCTTGCAGATCAGGCTGAGCAGCCTGACAGCCAATCTCCAGCCTGGCAACTCTGCACAGGCAGTGGAGAAAGTGGGGACCCAAGGCAGCTCGCGCACTCCTGTGTCTCAATGAGCAGCCTTTTGGAGCCGGAGTGCGCCCACCAGGCGTTTCCCTGGCTGTGCAACAAAAGCAGTGCGGAGAGTGGGGATCCAAGGACACATGCGCGCAAGCACGCACTCCCACACCAATTCCAGCAGACCAATGCGGTCCCGGACCTGACCCTCTGTGGGAGGGCCCAACCCTGAAAAAATGGTGCCCTCCTGTACACTACTCGCGTGCAAGCTCCACACCAGGGGAACAATGGTTCCCAAACCACCAACTCCCCCACCAAAGGGGCTCAGTTCAGTTCTTCCCCAAAGGCTTTTGGGCCCTGCTCACACAGCCACTCCCTCCACCAGGGACTAGGTGAGTGTTCACCAGCACGTGAGCCTGTGTGCCGGCTCCACTGGTTCTCTAGCCGCCCTCAGCCTCACTGAATTGAGCAAAGAGATTTCTCACTAATTTCTACTGCCAGCTATCGTGGGACTCCTCTTCCCGGCAAAGTAACTCTGGGCTGGTGAGCGCGGTGTGGGGCTGAAAGGTCTCTCCCACAACCGGAGAACCGGAGAAGCCTCTCCATCGCTGAGGTGTCCCTCACGGGGTTCACCCTCTCTCACCTCTGCCCCTTCTAC